ATGACAAATCTGAATTATTTGGCCAGAAAAACTGAGACAGAAGGGCTTAAAATGAAGGCTTCGTGAAGGCAGAGAAATCTGAGCAGATGGCGCAGGCATGCTAATATAATATGACGACGCAAGGGAGCCGGGGTGGCACCTGCGAATTGCCATGATTCTATAAGGTTAGACATCTGTCAAGTTCATTTCCCATTTTTGTTATTTTTACACTCACACAACCAAAGTCATGAGGTTTCACTAATTTCGAACAGTGCATTTTTTTAAAATGTTAGGATGCCTAAAAGGGAAGTAAGGTAAGAATTAGTCATTAGAAACAAAGGGGTAACAAAGTCAGGTAAAGATTTTTCATAAGGTTAGATAATCTAAAGGTCAGATTTTTAGAGTCAGAAACATGATAGTTCTAAAAGATAGTTTACTATCTTATCATTAAAAATCCACCACACAAGTTATTAGAGGGTTCCTCCCCTAAGATGCTTTATCCACAGGGGCAAGGTAAGCCGCTATGGCTGCCACATAAACCTTTAAGGTAGATGGGGATATCCCTGCCGAAAAGCGAACTTGTAGAAACCAACCCGGCAGTTAACTGGACCCTATTGTTGCATATGCACCAAGAAGTGAAGACTTTACACTTCAGGAGGTTGAGTTGGGCCCCCTGTGAGTTGGGCCCTCTCAGGCCGAATCCACAAGTTCCATATTTCCGGGCGGGGTTGAAAAATCGCTCCTCCCGCCTGAGACAGCGGAATCTCCAAGGGAGACCCGCTGAGGAGGGACACTAGGCCCGAGAACCAAATCTGGCGTGGCCAATATGGTGTTAAAAGCAGTAGACTTATTCCGTCCTGTGGGACTTTCTCTAACTCCTGAGATCAGAGCAACTGGGGGAAAAGCATATGGCTGTAACCACGGCCACGTCTGTACCATTGCGTCTGATGTGCAAGTTTCAATTAGGGGAACTTAGTTCTAGGAACTACCAACAGAGTGGTTCCTGGTTACCCTAGGAACATTTTCCTGGTTGTATTCGCATTACTTTATTAACCAACATTATTAATTAGAACTGTTAGAAACCCTATTCTCTGTAGAGTGAAGGGACCTGTTGTGATGGATTTTTAATTAATAAAATAGCAAACTGTATATTAAACTAACAATGATTCTAACCACTAACCGACTTCCTTTTTGTACTTACTTGCTTCCCTAAACTGACCTGCTGTGCAGCAGTAATAACAGACAGACCTCAGCAAATGTCCTCTAAATGCTTTAATTACGGCCGGGAGATCTTTCTGAGCAGTTCTCAAATCTCCCAAAAAGAACCAATAAGCATGGCCGGTGGATTTCAGACACATTCCATTGAGAATCCCACCAGTAAACACGAATACAACAGTTTTTATAGAATAGGGGTATGGCAAAATTACATGAAACATTACATATAATTTTCCATAAAAGCCCTCTTGTTACCCGGTAATCAAAAGATTCAAGGTTAGACATCTGTCAAGTTCATTTCCCATTTTTGTTATTTTTACACTCACACAACCAAAGTCATGAGGTTTCACTAATTTCGAACACTGCATTTTTTTAAAATGTTAGGATGCCTAAAAGGGAAGTAAGGTAAGAATTAGTCATTAGAAACAAAGGGGTAACAAAGTCAGGTAAAGATTTTTCATAAGGTTAGATAATCTAAAGGTCAGATTTTTAGAGTCAGAAACATGATAGTTCTAAAAGATAGTTTACTATCTTATCATTAAAAATCCACCACACAAGTTATTAGAGGGTTCCTCCCCTAAGATGCTTTATCCACAGGGGCAAGGTAAGCCGCTATGGCTGCCACATAAACCTTTAAGGTAGATGGGGATATCCCTGCCGAAAAGCGAACTTGTAGAAACCAACCCGGCAGTTAACTGGACCCTATTGTTGCATATGCACCAAGAAGTGAAGACTTTACACTTCAGGAGGTTGAGTTGGGCCCCCTGTGAGTTGGGCCCTCTCAGGCCGAATCCACAAGTTCCATATTTCCGGGCGGGGTTGAAAAATCGCTCCTCCCGCCTGAGACAGCGGAATCTCCAAGGGAGACCCGCTGAGGAGGGACACTAGGCCCGAGAACCAAATCTGGCGTGGCCAATATGGTGTTAAAAGCAGTAGACTTATTCCGTCCTGTGGGACTTTCTCTAACTCCTGAGATCAGAGCAACTGGGGGAAAAGCATATGGCTGTAACCACGGCCACGTCTGTACCATTGCGTCTGATGTGCAAGTTTCAATTAGGGGAACTTAGTTCTAGGAACTACCAACAGAGTGGTTCCTGGTTACCCTAGGAACATTTTCCTGGTTGTATTCGCATTACTTTATTAACCAACATTATTAATTAGAACTGTTAGAAACCCTATTCTCTGTAGAGTGAAGGGACCTGTTGTGATGGATTTTTAATTAATAAAATAGCAAACTGTATATTAAACTAACAATGATTCTAACCACTAACCGACTTCCTTTTTGTACTTACTTGCTTCCCTAAACTGACCTGCTGTGCAGCAGTAATAACAGACAGACCTCAGCAAATGTCCTCTAAATGCTTTAATTACGGCCGGGAGATCTTTCTGAGCAGTTCTCAAATCTCCCAAAAAGAACCAATAAGCATGGCCGGTGGATTTCAGACACATTCCATTGAGAATCCCACCAGTAAACACGAATACAACAGTTTTTATAGAATAGGGGTATGGCAAAATTACATGAAACATTACATATAATTTTCCATAAAAGCCCTCTTGTTACCCGGTAATCAAAAGATTCAAGGTTAGACATCTGTCAAGTTCATTTCCCATTTTTGTTATTTTTACACTCACACAACCAAAGTCATGAGGTTTCACTAATTTCGAACACTACATTTTTTTTTAAATGTTAGGATGCCTAAAAGGGAAGTAAGGTAAGAATTAGGCATTAGAAACAAAGGGGTAACAAAGTCAGGTAAAGATTTTTCATAAGGTTAGATAATCTAAAGGTCAGATTTTTAGAGTCAGAAACATGATAGTTCTAAAAGATAGTTTACTATCTTATCATTAAAAATCTACCACACAAGTTATTAGAGGGTTCCTCCCCTAAGATGCTTTATCCACAGGGGCAAGGTAGACCGCTATGGCTGCCACATAAACCTTTAAGGTAGATGGGGATATCCCTGCCGAAAAGCGAACTTGTAGAAACCAACCCGGCAGTTAACTGGACCCTATTGTTGCATATGCACCAAGAAGTGAAGACTTTACACTTCAGGAGGTTGAGTTGGGCCCCCTGTGAGTTGGGCCCTCTCAGGCCGAATCCACAAGTTCCATATTTCCGGGCGGGGTTGAAAAATCGCTCCTCCCGCCTGAGACAGCGGAATCTCCAAGGCAGACCCGCTGAGGAGGGACACTAGGCCCGAGAACCAAATCTGGCGTGGCCAATATGGTGTTAAAAGCAGTAGACTTATTCCGTCCTGTGGGACTTTCTCTAACTCCTGAGAGCAGAGCAACTGCTCCAAAACACATAACACACAAGTTGTGTGTATTCCCAGCCGTTAGGAAGTGCGGGCAGGGAGAAGCACACTGCTTGAATGTTTGGTTCGCCGTATGTGATATAGTGACTGCACAATCTCGGGACGGACAACAATAAACAAGACACACAGTTTGACATAGAGCGCTTGCTGAGGCACGGAAGCTAACGCCGTTCATTCCGGATGTTAATTTATCCTTTCCTGGTTGTGACGTCACCTGCCCGTGACATTTCCTTCTCACCATTGGATTAGTTGACATACATGCTTCAGAAGCAATCACGCGGAGGCGTTCCCAAAGAGTCATTGCCGCAGCGCAAGTTCCCTTAAAAAGGGAAAGATGTAGAGCCAAAAGAACAGCATAGACATTAAATCGCCTAATCATTAAATAGCCTAATAATGATAATAGTTCTCATGCAGACTTGCATGTACCTTTAGCTCAGGTTGTTTAGAAATTCCAAAGTCATGGGTTTGAAATGGCCTACTTTTAAACTGTATTCCTTAAATCTGCAAGTTATTATTTGGATTTAAACATGTCTGCCAAATTAATAAATCTAATGTAAATCTAAATAGAATCCTTGACGAGACGCACCCCTTCGGTAGTTTTAGTGTTTTCATGTTTTATCACAGATTCAGAAAATGTCTTTACCTGCAGTAGAGTCGTTCACAAGCTGCTTGTGCTAGTGCATCTTCGCAGGTTTGATTTGGCTGCATGTTCATATTCACTTTTTTTCAGCGTTCTTTCGGTTTTTGCTATCCTTTTTTACCAATTCATGGATTAGGGTCCAGTTATATAAACGCAGACTGTCTGACCAAACAGTAGCAAAGATATTCAGTCTTACTTTTTTCGTTCTCAAAAAAGACCAAACTCAAACCAATTTGTTTATGCAACTGATTAAATAAAAGTCATATGACTCATTCTTAATAATAATAATAATTATATTATTATATACATAATATTTATTACACATATATATGTTTAAGCAATTTATGCAACAGGCCTCATCACTTCTGATTCTTTCCAAACAACAGAAAACGCGATGCGTGTCATAATGCTAGAAACGTTAACAGTAAATGTTGATAAAAGTCAATTAATGATTCCCAAGTGAAATTAGCTTGGAAAATTTGCTACCGCAAAAAGGTGGCGCCCTAGTTGGCTTAATGGGTTGTCTAACCATTAATCGATTTGCTGTTTTCTTTTTACACAGTAACGTCACAAAATATACATCTGGACATGATAATGTTGTTGATATTCACGTAGTCGTACAACTGAAAGTGAAAGGACGTTTCCCAGAACGTTTTACATCGCAGGCTGCCAGTTGTTGGCTTTTACTGGCAATACAAACACATTATCTTAAAAACCACAACATTTCCGCTTCCATTTCAGAAGATGATGAGCATGAGCACGTGAATGAGAAAATGGTTGTTGGTTTCATAAATGTCATAAATGAATATTATTATTTAGACAATTATTAGAAACATTTCTTAACAATAAAATATTTTTAAAATGTAGATTATTTAATGCATCAACAAACGTGCACAATTAGTAATGTGTTCGCTAAACATTTCAAAATACTGTAGAAAAAAACGTTGAGCTCGGATCAAAATCAAATATGTTTCCAGGTGAATACAAATGTAAAAAAAAAAATATTTTAGATTTAAGCTATTTTTTGTGTTTCATAACTGTCATTCAATGTAAATACATATAGAGCAAGCTCAATAGATGTGTCAAAGATGCAGTTTCTATTCTGTTTGGAAAACAGCACTGTAAAATATGTCTGTACAAACAGATAAACATAGTGATAAGAACAAGTCCAGGACAAGATAAAATGAATAAACTCTTATTTAAAGGAATAGTTTACCCTTGTGTTGTTCCAAACATGTATGAAATGCCAATTCCGATTCATAAAAACCTATTTAAGAATTGGATCAACCGATTTATTGAAAATAGCTCAAACAAATGATTTGTTAATAAATAAGACATCACTTCTTATCTCCTGAATGAGCTAAAGCTAGGGTGAATTCAGTGAACAACATTTTCGCTGTTCCTCGCACAAAGCTATAGTAATAGCTCTGCAAGACTTGGAATATAATGTTATGGTTGTATGGGCTATTTTTATAATACTTCTATGGCGTCTTTGAACTTCATTCAGGAAAAAAAATAATCATACAGGTTTAAAATGACATAAGGGTCAGTTAATGACAGAATTTAATAGCTCATTTTTGGTGAGCTATTCTATGGAGTCAACAATACCAAAGTTAAATATAGCTGCAAGCAGCAATTATCGGGCCCAAGTGTAAAGAAGATGAAAAGACAAGCCAACGTGGCCAGGAGTGTCAGACCAACTGCAGCAAGGAGCAATTAAATACAATTTAAGATGATTTTAGGCAAAATGGCTGAATAATCATATATACAGTCACTAATAATATGATCTAGCGGTTTGACCATTTGGACTTTCGACCAATCGGTGGCTCAATTACGAAATTGATGTGGTGTGGTCAGAGTGAGGTGACAATGACACATGTTAAGTTTGGTGTCAATATGTCAAGGCATTGCAGAAATAAAGCCTGAATAGTCATGTTGGCATCATGCCTCAAATTTGCTGCTGCGGGAGCAAATTATTTATCTATTGAGATAAAGTTCATGACATTTTGTCGGCACAGTGTGGAGATTTTGGTGAAAATCGGACAAACGGTCTAGGAGAAGTCTAGGCCCCTAAATACACAAGTGTTTTTGAATGCATGTACTATCTGGATTTCACCAGGTCATGTACACTGAAATGATGAAAGAAGTATAAGAAAGGTTTTTTTTTTCCTCTCCCCCTGTTTATGTCTTTCATTAGTGTCTTTCAGTCTGAGCCAGACTCCTCAGAGCTTGGCGGTGTACTGACCGCTTCCTCTTCATCATCAGACCCCTGTATAAAAAGAAGTAGGCACAGAGAATGACAGGAAGACAATGAACATAGTGAATACATTTTCCCCCTAATACCCACTGGTATAAGATCAAATCTGAAAAAGGGCAATAAAATATATACAATTATTAAATTCTAAAAAGTGTCAGGAATTCTGGACACATAAATCAAAATTTGGATGGGATCATATTCATAGCAGAGAATAGAGGATCAAAAACAAATGACAACAACAAAAATCAGTGTCAGAGAAATCAAAACAAATTGTACAATTGGACACTGGGAGACACATTTAAGTTTCATATTAAGACTAATTATTAAAATCCAAAGAATTATCTGTTTATATTATTTAAGGTACCTGAACTAACATGAACTAACAATAAACAGTTGCATTTTTATTAACTAAAGTTAACAAAGATGAATAAATACTATAACAGCTCATTGTTAGTTAATGTTAGCTACTACATTAACCAATGCTAACTGATGGAACATCATTGTAAAGTTTTACTATTAAAAGTCATACTGCTCTTTTTTTATTCTTGAGGTAAATCTTGAAATAAATCATTAGTATTGTTCCTAAAAAATTAGACAGAATTTGCTTTATTTTTTATTCAACAGCTCAACAAAACTGAACATTTTTTATGGCTTGATACTTTTGTTATTTGTTGTTTGTAGGACTATATATATATATATATATATATATACATAATCCTGACATTTGGGCAATACTTTGGTGTTGTTTGACAACCCTTCTTTTAGTATGTGATGTACATAGTATGATGTAGTTTTAAAAACATACGTTTCTGAACTATATAGTTACCTACCTTCCAAACTATGTACTATGTTGCGCTGTTGCTGTAACTATGTTGTTGAGTGAAACTGTTTCCATTAGATAGACAATTTTGTTAAGCGTGTGTTAGTGTTACCTTGCGCTTCCGTCCCTTCCCTCTTTCTGACTCTGATGAGCTCTCTTCACTGGATATGAACTCTCGACTCTTAAAGCTGTCGTTGCCTGTTACTCGTTCCTTCTCTTTCTCCTTCCCACCGCCTGACTTCTTTTTCTTCTTTTCTTCATTCTTCCCTCCTTTCTTTTTCCTCTCCCTTCAGGAATAAAATGTGGGAAAAGAGTGATAAAGCCTATTATTAATGCTGACATCAATGGTGATTGTGAGTTAATAAATGACATAATTTTCATTTTTGGCTGAAGCAGTAAGTCGTAGGACTAGGCTATTTCACTATTTTGAGTACTTTTTAGAGCTGCTTGAGGATCCTCCACCACTCTCCTTGTACTCTCTCATGGCTCGCTCATAGTCTTTCTTTGCTTCCTCTGCTTTTCCTTCCCACTCCTGTTGGAATGAACAAGACAAAGGTATCAATTCAAGTTTTAAGAGAAAACAATCTGAGGCATTAAAAGGATAATTCACCCAAAAATGAAAATTAGCCCTCGAGTCAGATCATCCTAAGTGTATATGACATTCTTCTCTCAGACGAATACAATCAGAGTTATATTAAAAAAATGTTCTGGCTCTTCCAAGCTTTATAATGACAGTGAATGGCCGTTTCTGTTTTGAAGTGCTCCACATGGCTCCGGGGAATAATAAATGCCTTCTGAAGCGATGTGTATCTCTGAAAAATTCTAGCTTCCGGCTAAACGCAGTCTACTTTTGGCGTAGAATTAGTGTAGTGCATCATGGCGTAGCGTAAATACCTGCAGTATGTTGCATTACTTGCATAAGTTATGCTCAGACTTAAGTCGAATGCTAGTTATTTTACTTTATAAAGTTTTAAATAGGAATATTTTTCTTAAACAAACGCATCACATAACCCCCCGGAGCCGTGTGGAGCACTTTTATGATGGATAGATGCACTTTTATGGACTTCATAACAAAAACAGCCATTCCCTGCCATTATCAACCTTGGAAAAGCCAGGAGAACATTTTTTATATAACTGCGATTGTATTTGTCTGAAAGAAGAGAGCCATATCCATCAAGGATGACTTGAGAGTGATGTAATTTAATCATGGGTTAATTTTCAATTTTTGGGTGAACTATCCTTTTAACATTTTGGAAGGTCCAAGTGAATAGAGAGTCACCTCTTTCTTGTCTTTGGTGATTTGTTTCCACATTTCCCCAGCTTTTTTTGAGATTTCTGTGACAGAGATGCCTGGGTTCTCTGATTTAATGCGGTCTCTGCTAGAGTTCAACCAGAGCATGTAGGCACTCATTGGCCTCTTGGGGGCGTTAATATCCTTTGCCTTTTTCTACACACAAGAACACACAAAGTAGCACTGAATTTGTAAGTACTTGTACTGCTTGTAAACTGCTTGTTCTTTCTTTTCTCACCTCTTTCTTGCGTGGTTTTCTTTCTTTTACAAATTTAGCTTTCTTGGCTGGTTTCTTCTTTCGGTCTTCATCACTGTCCCCGCCATCAGCGCTGCTTTCACTGGCAGAGGCCTTACTGTCATACCTGACACACACAAATACCTGTATGACTTTATCAGGTATCAGATTTTTTCATTTTAGGAAGAAAGTGTAAGAGTGTTAACACTAGAGTGTTATGTGTGTTTTTTATTATCAAATTTCATTGATAGTAAGGTACTTTTATAGGTGCTTTTTTTTTTTTACTAATTTGTTTGTTAATATTTATAGTTATGAGTGTGTTCAAGTATGAGCAAAAGTAATACTGATGTTTTACTTAGCAAGCACCACTAATTGAAGCTGTCGCAAACAGATAAATGCAAAGCCTCTTACTCCTCTGCTATATCATCATCTTCTTCTCCAGGATTAAAAGATTCATCTGGGAGGAGAAAAAAAGTAATTTCAAATGTTAATTTATCTCACACAACACATACTCTGTTCAGCCAAGCCAGTTGTAATTTATGACACCCAAATACAGTTGCAGGTAGGTGTGGCTAATATAAACAAATTCTTATCTCAATGCGAGTAATTTTATTTCATGAGAACAATATATATCGCAATATAGTTATTTTTCCTGGAAATAAGGTTGTTTTGATACTAAATTTTAAAGTTACTACTGAAATTTCACAATTTTCTTAAACAAATTCGATATCACAGCATAAAGCAATACTATCCTAACTAGCATAAGTCATCATAGTTATAGAAAACAAGTAAACAGTCATTAATAAAATAAGAATGATTGGCTCAGAGAGCTAACACTCACCACTCTCGCCCTCTGAGTCGTCACTGTCATTGCCCTCCTCACGGATCTTGCCCTCTTCTTTCATGCGCTCCAGGTACGCATCATGCTGGTCGTCGTCCGAGTCGCTGTACATGTTGTCATTACCTTTCATCCCCTGATAGAATACAAATAAAAATTATATCAATGCAATATCAACATCGTGTCATTGCAAAGTTAGTATTTGTAACAAAGCGGACACAGGAAACCCTCTCCAAGCATAGATTTCAAACCCATTCATGTTCCCATCCTCATCGACCTCTCTCTCACACACACACACACGCGCACACAGTACTTTCATATCAGCAATCAGTGTTAACTCACTCAAAAGCACTCCCTTGAGCATTGCTGTGTTCATAGCACACACAACTGTTTAGATTAGAAAAGGTTTTTTTTGTAAAGCGACCACAACATTAAATACAGAGTTCAGATGAAATACTGTTGCAGTCTGATAATGACATCGGAGTGATCTTAACACAGCGTTCACGGGTCAAATCATAAACCAGTGAGCCTGCCCACCGTTTGGTGGATGAGAAATCTCCTTTAAGCCTTCAAAGATATGAGAGAATGCTTTCGATACTCGGTTGTGATTGTGACACGCAAACAAACACCATGCAAGCAAGTTATTGGAGCACCGACACCAAACCGCGGGACAATACCAACCTTTTTCTACATGAACACAATACAGACATACAGCACAAACACAAAGAGTAGAATGAGTGTACGTCCACTGTGTGAAAGGGTCTATATGGACATGTCTATGCAGATGAAAATGGTGATAGGACAGAAAAAGGACTGTAGCTGTACCTCTTTAAAGCCTCTGTTCTTGATGCTTAACTTCTTAGCATTGACGAAGTCAAAGAGTTTCCCATATTCTTCCCTAAAGAAGAAGGTGAAGATAGATCGAACATATAAAAACAAAGAGAGGATGAAGGCTCTTTTAGTGAGTTAAGGCGATAACTACAACAATAACTATATTAGCGTCCACAACAATGGTGATAACATTGTTTTTTTCTAAGAGCACTGCACTTATGTCGTCTGCTGCTTTATAGGTGGAGTAAACAATTTCTGAGAAACTAAAAATTGTGTTTGTACATAGTCCTGGTTGTGTAAATAGGAGAAAGAACTGGATCGGACTGATCAGACTGAGCACCACAATATTCTCATAGCCAATCAGGAGTAGGGGGTGTATACGCTCATGATGGGGAGGAGAGAGAGTGAGCAAGCAGGACATTTGTAGAAAGAATGTAGAGAACGAGATGCCGAGGTGTGTTTGTTTGGGTGTCAATTTCAAATATCAACAGTGTTTCTCAGAAATTGGTTTAAAGTTGGGTGGATTCTGATTGGCTGTCCATGTTTTTATCATTCATCAGCTGGAAATATGTGTCATTATCAATATATCCGTGGTGTGGACTTCCATATTCATATAAAATTAGAGCGAAAATTTTAACTTTATAGTTAAGTTAAGCGCAGTACATTTTTGTGTGTATTGTTTTTACCAAAAAAAAAAAACGTACCAGAATGGTTGAAGAATGTGTTAAAGGGATAGTTCACTCAAAGAATGACATTTCTGTCATCATTTACCTAACCTATATGACATAAGTGTTTTTGACTTTCATTGCATGGACACAAAACAGAAAGTCAAACAGGTTTCGAACGAAACAAGGATGAATTGTTTTCAAGAAACTGTTGCTTCTGCCACATTAATGTGATGTGTTAGTGTATTGATTCAGTCATAATATGGACCCAACTGAAATACTGTAATGTGCCTAAAGTAACTTTGTTCCCCTTAACATCTTATGTAGAAGGGGTCAGGTCACTAATAGAGAGAGGCCCTTTTACTTCAGTATGAGATAAAGCAGAAAGAATCACCACAAAGAGGTAGCATAGACTTTCTATGGCAGATGGGGGTTAAGTGCTCAAGGACATAATGACAGGAAGTGCCTTAAAGAGGATAATGGACACTGGTCTTTTCATTACTGGTATGGTCAAGTTCCCACAAAGCTATGTTCCCGACAAGTGGGCAACAATAACATTAGGCTTATGGGTACCTCTCGATGCTGCTGAAGGTGTACTGATTGCCCTGCTTGGTCTCAATCTCAAAATCGAAAGAGCGAGTGGTGGTGGTTCCACGGGCGAAGTTCACGCAGGCGATCTCTTCAAAGCGGAGGTGCACCGGAGGCTTGTGCACATAGATAAAACCTCTTTCCAAAGGATACAACAGCCCTGAAGTGGCCTTATATGAACATGTTATACACTGAGCTCCTGAGTGACTACAGAGAAGAGAAGGAAACATAATGATAGTGGAATTAAACAGACTTCATAAAATTTGTACTGGTATTATGTTATACTACATACAGTAATGTTCAAAATCTTGGGTCAGTAAGATGTTATTTTTTTTTAAAAAGAAATTCATACTTTTTGCAGAAAATATGCATTAAAATTCAAATAGAAATCAGAAAATTGAAATTAAAAATTGTATTGATAAATTTACTGTTAAAAATAAGAAATAAATCACAAAGATTGGATTCAATGGCAATGTTTTGGACATTAAGGAAAGGCCTTTAGGTGTATATTTCATTATATTTATGCATTTCTATACTCTTTAATGTTTAAAGATATAATATTAACAATGTGTAAAAGAAGCTACATATTGTTTTGTTAGATGTCAACATAAATTTAAATAATG